TCCCCTGGAACAGTTCGTACTGAGACGGCCGGGGACACCCAAACCCAATGCCCTGAATCCACTGCCCCCGTGGAAACAGGTGCTGTCCCGGGTGCCGGCGACCTCCAGGCCGTCACTCCAGTGGTCACTTTTCTTCCTTACGCCGCTCTTGGAAGGCACACTTGGTCACTCCTTTACTTTGTTCCCTTGCCAAGACATTCGTACCCGCGCTGCTCTTCACTCCAGTTCGCTGGTTCCTCTTGGTCTTCCCCAGTTGTAAACGTTCGAGAGCTCAGCCCCCTCCTCCTTCTGCCCCGCTTCCTGGTGACCTCCGCTAGTGGCCTTTGAAATGTCTTAAAAAAACAAGGGATGGGGAGGGAGGGGCATTCCAGGCAGTAATAATTAGGGGTGAAGGCACGGAGGCAAGAGAGACCGTGGTTGCGGAGTGCTCGACGTGGTTGTAAAGGCCATTTTATGAGAAGGCTTTAAAACTGAGCAAAGATATTTGAATGAATAGGCTATTGTTCTTCAAAGAACACTGCTTTTACAAGTTTCTTTGTACTGGACTGATGTCCTTGATGACAGGAACTGTGTACTTATTTATTTTTCAATTTCCGTTTTCTGCAGTATTGTTTGATATATAGTAGCACCCAAATTTACCAAATTAAATATTTGCTATGACTGAAGCTTAGGGTGATACGAGGACATGACTATATATTGATAAATATGAGATTTGATGCCTTTAAAGGCATTATTTAGGCAGAGTAGGGCTATTTGAATGTTTACTTTGGTTTTAAAAAGTAATGTTTATTAAAGTTACTAGTTTAAAAATCCAGTATTCCTGAAAAAAAAAAGAATGTTTGATGACTTAATCTGGGCAGTGTTTATATAAGCATTTATATATGTCAGAATCCATCAAACTGTACACTATTTGTGCATTTTATTGTACATCAATATAAAAATTTTTTCAAGGTGAACCATTAAATAAATAAAACACTTTTAAGCACACACACAAAAAAACTCAAATTTTCTTGTGAAAATCAAATAGGAATGCTTATGTAACCCTGGACATAGTAAGTGCCCAATAAATTAACTCTTCAATAGATGACATGAACCATATGCAATGTGTAAATCTTGACTAGATCTTGGCTGTTTAAAAAGGAAACATAGCTGATGGACAGTGACTGTAATGGGGTTTGTAGGGGGGACTTGGTGAAAGGGGGAGCCTAGTAAACATAATGTTCCTCATGTAATTGTAGGTTAATGATACCAAAATTTTTTTTTAAATTAAGAAAGAAACAGCTGTAAAGGACATCCTTGGGACAGTTATGAACATTTGAATTTCAACTGGATATTAGAGGTTAGAGCATTATTATTCATTTTCTTAGGTGTGGCAATGATGCTGGATTTTGAAAGAGAATGTCCTAGTTTTAACTGATGCTTGAGGAAGTGTTTAGGGACTAGGGATGAAGGGTCATGATATCTGCAACTTAGTTTCAGTGTTTCAGAAATAAATATAGTTAAATAATGTTAACAGTGGTAAAATGTAGGTAGTAGGTTTATGGATACTCACTGTGCTATCGTTTCAGCTTTTCTGGATGTTTGAAAACTTGTAGAATGAAAAGTTGGAAAATAAAATAAAATAAAAGGTAACACTCCATTTAAAAAAATCTAGTCTTCCTTGAGCATTTATGTTTAGTTTATAAATCTTTTTTTCAGTAAGACTATTTAATAAATTATTTATTCTAAACAGGATTATTCTAAATAAAATTACCTTTTTCTAAACTTAATCTTATTCTAGGTCTAAAAAATAGTAACTTAATGGTTTTGTTTCGTTTACAAACTTAAGCTCTTTAATTATGAACTTAATATATTCCATTTCTTTAAGCACCTCAATTCTTACTAACAATCCTTCCCACTTTCTTAAGTAATTCTTATAAATGTAAGTCGAACTTATCAATATGATAAACCTCAAGTTCTCTTAACTATCCTAAAACTCTTTATAAACTTACTAAGATTTTTACTTAAAGTTACAACTCATCACCAATTTCAATTTTAAACTAGAATGAAAAAGCTGGCCTGTTACTCCAATAAGCCAGATCATCTTAAACATAGAAATGCATAAAATATCAAATATTCACAGTAACTAGTTTTTTATGGTCTTAAACATTTCCTCTCTTAATTCCCTACCTTCCCAGTAGAGTAAGTTCTCACCCACTAAGGACACATCTATATTATCCCATACAATTTTTGGAGCTCCCTTCTCTTGTGCCGTGAAGAGTTGTCTTGTCAGTTTGCTGAGATTTCACAATGACCAGAGCATGTTGGCTGGGGTTCAGTGACTTTCTGGAAGTCGGGACTTCACTTCCAGAGCATGACTCTCCTTGTTCTTCTACATCTCTGGCCCCTCTTCCTCAGTCACTTTGGCTGGATCCTTCACATTTCCCCAGTCTTGATGTTGAGCCTCTTCATCTGCATCTCTCCCTTGCTCTCACCATTCTCATGTCTTTAAATAGCATCTATATTCTGATGATTCCCAAATTTCTATCTATAGCCTACCCTGTCCCCTGAATTCATTCAACTGCCTACTTATCCCCCCAGTTGGTTGCCTCACAGGCATCTTAAACGTAATATGTTCAAAACTCAGTTTTCTTCTCCACACAAACCAGCCTTTTCCAGTCTTCCCCCATCTCAGTTAATGGTGACCTCCATTTATGGCTGTCCCAGTCAAAAACCTTAATGTCGTCCCCCACGTCCACATTGACTCATCAGCAATTTTGTCATTCCTGCCCTCAAAATTACCCTGAATCATCCTCCTCCATACTATTTCCATCACTCCAGTGCAGATCCGAGCTGTGTAATAAGATACCTCTTATCTCTCACCTGCATTATTCCATTGGCCTCCTTGCCTCCACCCATGTTCATACAAACTATTCTCAACCTGATGATTTATTGACATGTAAATCAGACTGTCACCCTCCAGGCTCCCATTTCACTCAAAGAAGAAGCCAGTGTTTTCAGTGGCCTACAAGGCCCCCCATAATTTCACTCCCCGTGTTCTGACCTCATCTTCTACTGCGCCCCCTTCACTCCTCTGTATCAGCTATACCTCATTGCTTTTTGTTCATGCTATTTTCTCTGCCTGGGATACACTTTCTCCAGACATCTGTAGGGCTCATTCTCTCACTTCTTCAGGTCTCTAGTCAAACTCACTTCAGCAAGACCATCCCTAAACACTTATTTAAATTGCAGCCACCACCCTACACACATTCTCCCACCCCACCTCCATCTCTGGTCGACTTTTTTTCCTTAGTGCTTATTCCTCTCCTATTTTTTTCACTTATTAATCTGGTTTTTTGTGAACGTTCCACACTAGAATATAAATCCCATTAGACTGAGGATTTTAATTTATTTTATTCGCTACTGTACCTTCAATAAGTATGTGTTGAATATATGGATAAAATACTATAATTGGGGCTTTATAACTTAATGAATTGAACAACTAGCCCACACAAGTTAGATATAGATTATGTTATTATCTCCTTCTTTGCCTCATACATATGTTTGTAACCATCCACATGATAGAATTATTTTATTCTATTTGCATTTCTTTAGCTCTTTTGTAAGAAAACTGTAGCCATTTTTTAACTTCACAGAGTTAGGTGTTCTTTCATGGGTCTTTTCTCATAACATCTCTTGGAAATACACAATTCTTATAGATTTTAAATAAAAATTTAATTTAATTTAAATTCATTGAGTTATGGATCTCTTAAGGCTTTCTTCAATATTTGCTCACAACTCAGAACTGGATGAGAATGGGAGTGGTCAGGAGCTAGATTATGAAAAATCTTATATCTATAGTAATAATCTCAAAGAGATTGTATTTTATACTGAAAGAAACAGAGAGCTTTGAAGAGTTTCAAACAGAGTGACATGGTCAGATCTGCATGTTAGGAGAGGTCACTCGAGGTGAACTGGAAAATGGATTGTACAGGATGAAACTACAACCAAGAAGACCATTTAGAAGTCTATGATGATAGTCCATGGGAGAGGTGAAGAGAGGCTGCACCAGTAGTTCCAAACTTTATATTTTCAGCTCCAACTCTAACCTTTCTCCTGAACTCCAGGCCCACATTTTAACTGCTTATTTGTATGTCCACTTGGAGACCTGATAGGCATCTCATGTCAACATGTTCAAAATAGAGTGCTTGGTTTCCCTTCTAATCTGTTCACCTACTTTTCCTCATTTCACACAAAGTAACAAGCCGTCTGTCAAGTTGTTCTCACCAAAATTAGCAGTCATTCTGATTTCTCTCTTCCTATAACTTGCCCTTGCAAACCTGGACACCTCAAATCTACCAATTTTTGTTGGCCTGTTTTCCAAAACAGCCCAAACCCTTTCACTTCTCACCATTGATGTAATGTACCACTCTGGTCCAACCTCTGGACCACTCTGCTGCTCTCCTGACTGAATGGTCTTCCCACTCTTGCCTACTGTCAGCCTTCTGCAACAGTCAATTTTGCAAACAGCATCTGCAGTTATTATCTTAAAGCATAATCACATAATGCCCTGCTCTCAACCTCCAGTGGCTTTCCCTCACACTCCGAATAAAGCCAAAGTTCTTGCCTGCTTAGCTGATCTCATGTCATACCATTGTTCTCAACAGCATTCTACAGTTTCTTTCTACTCCTTAAAACGTGCCAGGGCCACTCCCACTTCTTCTTGAGCCGTTCCCTCTGTCTAGAACTTCCTCTTGATCATCCCAGGCCAACTCCTTTTTAATCACGCAAGTGTAATTCAAATGTTACTTCATTACAAAGGACTTCTCTGACTTTAAAAGCTAAAACACCCCTCCCCATGAAAGAGCCTCTCTATTAAACCACTCTGTTTTATTCCCTCTATGGCAGTGACCACAAACTGAAGTTATCTGATCAGTCTGTTAACTTGCTTTTTATCTTTCTACCCTGGAACAGAACCTACATGAGAGCATGGGTTTTATGTCTGGATCCACAGATATACTGCAGTATCCACAGAGCCATAATAGGTGTCTAGAACATAGTAGATACTCAGTAAATCTATAATCAATGATGGACAATGGAATGGACCTCAATTAAAGCTGCAGCCTTGGGCAGAAGGAGGAAGGGACTGACAGGAGAGACTTTAAAGAACCAGGCCAAGCTATGAGCTCCACAAAGGCAGGGTTCAGTTCACTGGTGGCTCCCAAGCACTGGGCCTTCCTAACACATAGATGAGTAAAATCTGTTCCATGAACAAATACAAAAATTGTTGAGTTTCAGTAACCCCTTAAGTCAGAAAGCTAGAAGGAGAAATTAAAGATGACCTCAGGTCTCTGGCATGGGTACCTCCGTGTGGGTAATGGGCTGGAGTTGAAACGCTGACTGTCTCACTGCATCTTCTTTCTGTGAACTGCTTAGATGGCTGATTCTGACCCTGGGGAAAGAGACTATGACAGCACGCCAAAAACACTGTCAGACCTGAATAAAGACTTGGAAAAACTACTGGAAGAAATGGAGAAAGTCTCAGGTAGGTCCTTCCCCAGGCAGAATGCCTTCTCGTTGCCAAGAGCTCAAGTCCTCCCTTCACTTCTGAGCTCAAATCAAGTGCCTTCTTAACGAGGCCTTCCCTATCCACCTCTCAACTTCTATACTGTGTAAGTACCATGTCACAAAATTTGACACTTACCACTGAATATCACCTTGAATGGTTTTCTATTTTGTGTGTGGTTGCAACTTATTTTTGAAACTGGACTGTTATCTTTGAGAGCAGAAATAGTGACTTCTTCTGTAACTGAGCACAGTACCAGCTACACCCAAGCTCAAGTACTCAGCAAATGACAAATGATGTTAGTATAACACCTGTGAATAAAACCGGAACATTCTTTCTGTACATTATTTAAATAAAATGAGTTCAGAGTAATAGTCCTAAGATAGGTGAGATGCTGAAATGGGAGGTAAAACTCACCAGCATAAAGCAGCAGGAGAGTTAAATAAATTTTTCCATTTTTGGAAAAGAACGCTAGTCTTTTACTCAACATGTTTCCACTGTAATAGCCAGCAGTGGTAGTGATAAAATTATAATTTAGTTAATTTGTTTTTTACTGATTCATAGTATGTGTAATTCTTATAATTTGTGAGCCTAAGTTTTCTAAAATTTTAGAAAGCATACATACTCTATTCAAATGAAAAAAACTATTTTTAAGGACACTATTAGTTTGCAAATAATCTCCATTCATTACAACAGGCTTTAGAGAATTTCTACTTAGAAATGTTTGTAATTTTTCTGCCTATGTACCTGAAAGTTAACCCTCCTTTTAAAAAAAATTTTTATAATTCATTTTCCACTATAAGTTATGTAATTCTTTTCTTCTAATTAAATATTCTTATTTAATAGCATTTGCCGAGCACTAACTATGAGCTATTCTAGGCATACAAAGTTGAATAAAGATGCTCCTTCATTTGAAGAAGTGGGTAGGGGCAAGAAATAAAAACTATATATTAAAATTATAATCCGGCAAATACTAATAATGGTGCAAAGCAAGTACTAGAGAGAAAAGGAGAGGCTGACTGCTTGGGAAGGCGGGTAAGGCCGGCAGCAGAGCGCTAGAGAAGGAGCTGAGACCATACAGATGAGGCGGGGGTGCTGCGGGTAGAGAAGAAAGGCGGCCCAGCGGAAGAGACAGCCAAGGCTGTGTGCCCATGAAGGAAAGGCCAGCACAGACAAGGAGCCAGATCGGCACGTGGGATCCCCGAGGTGGCAGACCCAAGGAGGGAAGCGGCTGAAAAAGTGAGAAGGGTCTTTAATGCCAAGTGAAGGAGTTTTACCTTTCGTCTAGGTGATAGAGAACCGCTTCGGATTGCAAGAAAGACATTTGTTTTTTTCACATAGACTCCTCCGGTAAGGGTGTCAGGGATGGTTTCAAGAGGGAAGACCCATCAGGAAACCTTTGTAGAACTAGCGGCTAAAAGGGAGCTAGCCTTAATTGAGGCTTGGCGCTGGGAACAGGGTGGGAATTGCAGATCGCTGCAGTAGGAGCCCCTGTAAGCGTTCCTTATGTACCAAGGCTAGTAAGTCTTCGTTCGAAATCATAATACATTTCCTCAGTCTGTTATTTTCCTATTAATTTTGTATATAAAGTTCGGTAAACAGAAGTCTTGTGCAGTGAAAACCTATCAATATTTTTCTTTCTGATTTATTCCCATTGTTTTGATGCCTAGAGAATTTTCCCTTAATCCGAAATCAGTGTAATATTTGCTTATCTTTTCTCTTACTTTTCTTTGTGTTCCTTTTCAACATTTAATTCTAAACCATCTGGTGCACCAAGGAAACCAAGCTGTGTACTGCGTTTTTGTTTGGATCCGCTAGAGACTCTGGCAAATACTCAAAAATTAATTAAGGTAGTAGTTGCATAAATTTTTAAGTAATAATGGTTAATATTGCTAAAGTACTGTTACTAAGGTAATAGTGTTTTTTTTAAAGTGCTCTCTTACCTTAGAGACAAGGTTGAGAGATGTTTATATTGAACAATTCACATAAAAGACTCAGCTTCGACAATTTAAAAACTTAAGGTTTCCTCAATAAACTTAAAGTTGTCTGACTTGGAACTGTTGTATTTAAGCAGCTTCACTATTAGGAGGTTTGTGTACATCATTTGCCACAGGACTAAAAAAGATTTAGCCTATGTCTGCTTGCCATGAATGAGGCTTTTGACATGGACAGTTCCATATCCCCTCACCTTGGTGCTTTTCCACATCACATTCCTTAAATTGGTATAAGGTCCATTATTTTCCCTTTACCTTATTCTTTTCTTTAGTTTTAGTTTCACATATTTTCCTCTTTTTCTAATTCTGCTTTTATATAAATGTACTGCACTGTTGTCTAATTTGGGGATAATATAAGTCTTTTAAAAAATTTCCTTAGCAATTTACCAGCTGTTAAAAGTATGTTTTTATCAACATATAAGCAACCACCAATTAAATAATATTAAAATATTTTGTATAATTTACCTTTATCTTAGGCAAACTATACTATGTTCTTGGGCCCACAGATTCAAATCCAATGGTTGGGAATATTAAAATGTTCTTCTACCTGAAGTGTAAGCACCAGAACTATTTCCTCATAGTGTCTCTAGGACAAGTTAGGACAAATATTGTTAACAGAAGTAGCATTACTTTGGACCAGAATGATCTAATTTCTTACCCTGATACTTTCTGTTAAATTTAAAGGCCTAGTAGGTGAGTCCTTGGCCTCTGTCATCCCTAGAAGCCTTTGTCCAGTTCTCGCAGTGACCACACAGGGCAAGGAAAGTCACCAAGGAAGCAATCATAGCAGTTATTAAAACCACCAACGAGCAAATGAATGTACTCTGGACAAGTTAAGCTGCAGTGTGCCTTATGCTAGTGAGCCTTGAGAATGCAAAGTTCTTCAGGTACAAGGAGAGATTCTAACTTGTTTTTTTCTCCCCCAAATCAATCCCATGATGTTAGTTTAGAAATGATTTTTTTATTACTCATGAAGTTCTTTTACAGTACAGCAGAGATAGCTGACTGGTCTCATAGTATGTCAGATTTTATGGCTTACCACACTAGTTTCATTATTGTTAATCAGTAAGTTCCCCTTCATCATTTTTTTCTTTCTTTTTTCTTTTGTTAGCTTTCTTACATATTTATTCTTCCATGTGAATGATAGATTCTTTAATATTTTATTTGGAATTGTGTTAACCCTATACATTAATATGGAAGGAATATCTTTTTAACATTAAGTGTTCTCATCCAGAAACATGGTTATATCTTCCAAATTGTTCAGATGTTCTTCAATATGTCTCAAAAGGGTTTTGCAATATTCTCCTCCAGTTTCTTTTTCTTTGCTTTCAGTTGTATTTTTTTCCAATTCTACTGAGACATAATTGACATATAATATTGTATAAGTAGGTTATTCAACATAATGATTTAAGAGAATTGATAAATGATTTCTACAGTAAGTTCATTTAATATCCATCACCTCACATAATTACAAGTTTTTTCCCCTTGTGATGAGAACTTTTAAGATCTACTGACTTAATAACTTTCAAATCTACAATACAATATTGTTAGCTACAGTTGTCATGCTGTTCATTACATAAAAACATAACGCTTCACAAATTTGCTTCTCATCTTTGTACAAGAGCCATGCTAATATTTTCTGTATTGTTCTAGTTTTTGTATATATGCTGGCAAAACAAGAACTCTCCAGATTTTTCAATGCATTTACTTCTGTGTTTTTGTTCCTATTGTAAATAGGACGTTCTTCCATTTTTTTTTAATCTATGATACCAACTCACTTTATTTTTTATTTCTGATGTTCCTCTATTTTATTTGCTATATAATTAATACTAGTATACAAGAAGGCTGTAGATTTTTGGGCATTTAGTATTATTATAATGTCATTAATAATAGTAATAGCTTATATTTATTGTTTACCATGTGTTCATCTCCTTACTATATGCTTTATACACATTCTCATTTAATCCTTATAACAAACTTATGGGGGATAGACACCATTGCTATCTTGATTTTATAGATGAGGAAGCTGGAGCTCAGAGAGTTTAAATAATTTGTTCAAAGGTGCTAGGTTGAACTATAGTACTGTTCCAGTCTACTCAACTCTAGAGTCCTCTTTTTCTATATTCTGAATTTTTATGTACATACTTGGAAACAACTGTTTATTGAATGTTTCAAAGACCTTAATGGCTAAACTCTCAGAGATAATTTCGATAACTTTTTCCATTGCTTCCTTGGTTATTGCTTTAAGATTGTATGAATTTGGGTACTTCATATTTCCTCCATATTACCCATTCTATCAATATTTTCTGATTTATTAGCATACTATTATATGTGGTGGGATTTTTCAGGTGTGATTAATAGCATTTAAAAAATAAATAATAATCATAACATAATTATATTTCTATTTAATAAGTATAAATAATTATTAATTTGATAATTAATTTTAAACAAATGTTGCATGTTCATTGCTCTAAAAATTCAAAGTAAAATTCAACAGTGACTGCAATGGGGTGTCAGGGGGACTTGATAATTTGGGTGAATGTAGTAACGACAGTGTTGCTCATGTGAAACCTTTATAAGATTGTATATCAATGATACCTTAATAAAAAAAATTCAATCAAAATAGAAAATTTCAAAGAAAGTTTAAAATCAACAAAATCCAGTCACCCAGAATTAACTACTGTTAACATTGGTGAATACTATTCCAAGTTGCTCTCTATGCAAAAATAAAATGATGGGCCAATGGGCAGATGCTTGGAGGGACCATTTTCTTGTAAGATACACGTTTATTAAAATGGAATAATACTATACAAGCCACTTTTTATATAAAGGATACTACTGTCACTATTCGCAGATGCCATAATGTTATACATAGAAAACCCTAAAGGCTCCACCAAAAAACTATTATAACCAATAACTGGATTCACATACAAGGAGAGATTTTAACTGGTAGGATACAAACTTAATACACAGAAATCTGTTGCATTCCTATATACTAACAATTAACTAGGAGAAAGAGAAATCAGGAAAATAAGTCCATTTACAATTGCATCAAAAAGAATAAAATACTTGGGAATAAATCTCACCAAGGAGGTAAAAGACCTGTACTCTGAAAACTGTAAGACACTCATGAGAGAAAATAAAGAAGACACAAATAAATGGAAATCTATCCCACGCTCATGGATAAGAAGAATTAATATTCTTAAAATGGCCATCCTGCTCAAAGCAATTTGCAGATTCAGTGCAATCCCTCTCAAAATAACAACAGCATTTTTCCATAAACTAGAGAAAATAATCCTAAAATTCATATGGAACCACAAAAGACACTGATTAGCCAAAGCCATCCTGAGAAAGAAGAACAAAGCTGGGGGTATTACGCTTCCTGACTTCAAGCTCTATTACAAATCTACAGTAATCAAAACACTATGGTACTGGCTCAAGAACAGATCCATAGAACAACTGAACAGAATAGAGTCCAGATACAAACCCACACATATATGGTCAATTAATATACAATAAAGGAGCCATGGACATACAATGGGGAAAAGCGGCCTCTTCAATAACTGGTGTTGGCAAAACTGGACAGCTACATGTAAGAGAATGAAACTGGATCACTGTCTAACCCCATACACAAAAGTAAACTCAAAATGGATCAAAGACCTGAATTAAGACATGGAACCATAAAACTCTTAGAAGAAAACATAGGCAAAAATCTCTTGAACGTAAGCATGAGCAATTTTTTCCTGGAAACATCTCCTTGGGCAAGGGAAACAAAATAAAAAATGAATAAGTGGGACTACATCAAACTAAAAAGCTTCTGTACAACAAAGGACACCATCAGCAGAACAAAAGGCAACATACAGTATGGTAGAATATATTTGTAAGCAATTTATTCAATAAGGAGTTAACATCCAAAATATATAAAGAGCTCATATACCTCAACATCAAAATAACGAACAACCCAATTAAAAAATGGGCATAAGACCTGAACAGACACTTCTTCAAAGAAGAAATACAGATGGCCAACAGACACAAAAAAGATGCTTCACATCGCTAATCATCAGGGAAATGCAAATTAAAACATAGTGAGCTATCACCTCACACCAGTTAGAATGGCCACTATCTAAAAGACAAGAAATAATAATATTGGCGAAGATGTGGAGAACAGAGAACCCTCCTACTGCTGGTGGGAATGTCAATTGGTACAGCCACTGTGGAAAGCAGTATGAAGGTTCCTCAAAAAACTAAAAATAGAAATACCATTTGACCCAAGAATTCCACTCCTAGGAATTACCCTAAGAATGCAGGAGCCCAGTTTGAAAAAGACAGATGCACCCCTATGTTGATCACAGCACTATTTACAATAGCCAAGATATGGAAGCAGCCTAAGTGTCCATCAGTAGATGAATGGATAAAGAAGATGTGGTACATATACACAATGGAATATTACTCAGCCATAAGGAGAAAACAAATCCTACCATTGGCAACAACATGGATGGAGCTAGAGGGTATGATGCTCAGTGAAATAAGCCAGGTGGAGAAAGACAAGTACCAAATGGTTTCACTCATACGTGGAGCATAAGAACAAAGCAAAAACTGAAGAAACAAAACAGCAGCAGAATCACAGAACCCAAGAATGGACTAACAGTTACCAAAGGGAAAGGGACTGGGGAGGGTGGGTGGGAAGGGAATGAGAAGGGAAATAAGGGGCATTGCAGTTAACACACATAATGAGGGGGTGCATGGGGAAGGCAGTACAGCACAGAAAAGACCAATAGTGACTCTATAGCATCTGACTACGCTGATGGACAGTGACTGTAATGGGGCATGTGGTGGGGACTTGATAATGGGAGGCATCTAGTAACCACAATGTTGCTCATGTAATTTTATATTAATAATACCAACATAAAAATTAAAAAGAAAAGAATTATCTACATGGTGCTGTGAGATAGCCAAAGGGGAACCTAATTTAATGTAAGGAGCCAAGGAAGGCCTCCTCAAGTAAATGACTTCTCAGCTAAGACTACAATAGGAGCAGGAGTTGCTGAATGAAAGAAAGAAGTAGAAAAGTAGAGATGAGAGTTCGGGAACACAGAAAGAGGGGCATGTTTGCAAGGAGGTGGGCAGACGGAGTCCAGTTACAGACATGCTGAGCTGCGAGTGCCACTTCACGTGAGATGGGCATATTCTCCACACTCTCAAAAACATGATCCCAGAGCTTAGTAGCCGCACCAGTAGGGGTGAGGTTTAATGATACCGGTAACTGTTGAACCACTGTGTTGTATACTTGAAACCGGTATCGGATTGTACATCAACAATACTTCAATTAAAAAAAAAAAAAAGAAATGCCCAGAATAGGCAAGTTCATAGAGATAGAAAACAGATCCGTGGTTGGGAGGTGGGGGGAGGATGGGGAGTGACTGCTTAGTAGATGCAGTATTTACATTTGGGGTGAAGAAAACAAATAAAGGCAATGATCACCACTCTGTGGATGTACTAAATACCACTGAATTGTATATACTTCAGTTAGAATGGTGAGTGTCATGGTGTGTGAATTTTACCTCAGTAAAACAAATCATACTTAAATGTCAAATAATATTAAATTTACATTCTTCCAAATTTAATAAATTGTTTCTTTTGATACTTAAAAAAATAGATTATCCATGATACTTCAATGAAATATATATTATATACATATAAAATCGCAGAGCTTAATGTAAATTGGGATAGCCATTATAGAAAACAATATGGAGGTTCCTCAAAAATTAAAAATAGGACTACAGTATGATCAGCAATCCCACTTCTGCATAAATATCTGGGAAATGAAGGAAATGAAATAGTATCTCAGAGAGACATCTGCACCCCCTTGTTCATCGCAGCTCTATTCACACAGCCAAGATATGGAAACAACCTAAGTGTCCATTGAGAGATGAATGGATAAAGAAAATGTGGAATCGTTTTTGGCCTTAAAAAAGAAGGAAATCCTGTCATTTGTGACAACATATATGAATATGTAGATCCTAGGTGTTCTCATGCACAGACCCAAAGTGATGACTGTGCAGTGATGAATCTTAATTAGCTGGATTGTGGTGATCATTTCACAATGCATGCACATATCAAAACATCAAGTTATATACCTCAAATATGTACATTATTGTCAATTGTACTTCAATAAAGCTGAAAAATATATAATCCCAGGGCTCAAAAAGACATCAAGACTTGGGGGGTTGGGAACAGAGGTGTTTAAAGCACCATTTATTTATTCATTCATTCTCTCAATAAATATTTTGTGAATGACCACCTATGTCAGGCCCTGCATTCAAGTTGCTTATAGTCTGATGGGGAAATAATTCCAATATATGTGTTAATTGCTATAACAGAAGGATATTAGAATACCAGTGGGACTTTGAATGGATGGTTCCCAAACACTTGATATCCAGCTTTCTAATTTTGCCAGTCTACTGGATTTAAAGTGTTATCTGATTGTTTTAATTTTTACTTCTGTAATGAGTTCCAGACTCTTTCAATATGCTTCTTAGTCTGTTGGGTTTCCTTTTTGGAACATAAGAATCAGTGCACCATAAGTAGTTGAAACATGGACATTGGTGCTTGATTACCTGGGTCTAATCCTGCCTGTGCCATTATTAGCCAAATGACCTTGGCAAGCCACTTAACCTCT